AGAGAGAGAGAGAGAGAGAGAGAGAGAGAGAGAGAGAGAGAGAGAGAGAGAGAGAGAGAGAGAAGATGAAGGACGGACACAAAGACTACGTATAAGCTGAAGATCTGAAGTGAAATGAAGAGGAGTATGAAGGCCTGAAGAGAAATGCGCAGGAGCATAGTAGCATACCTTCCCTTTTACTCTGGCTCCTGAAACAACGTGCAAGTGGGCCGTGAAGGCACATGGGGATGTGGGCAGCTGCCGCGCAACCACAATCAACGTGGGCAGCCTTGTGCGTAAGAGGCACAGTAAAAGGGGAGCTGCAAGAACAATGAAAGGGGTACCCCAAGGACAACCAAAAAACTGTCTAATTATAAAATTGCTTCAATATGTTGGGCACATCTCAAATGCTCTCGTTGTCTGCAATAGGACAAAGATTGCTTTGATTCTGAATCTATTCATCTGGGTGGAATTGGGGCTGTTGTGGGCAAAATCTATAACAACCACGCGCTCGTGCCGGCACAGTGCGTGCGTTCAGTTATCTCCCATCCCCCACCACATGGCGCGTTTGAACAGAGCCGTTTGAATGGGCGTTCAAACGGTTACATGGAGAGTGAGCTGGCTTTGGCTTTTTTTTTTGTGCTCGGTATTTGGTACGAAATAAAAAAAAATCTAAAAAAGAAACAGGAATATATATCGAGTGGTGAACTTTCAGAAAAAAATGTTGAACGAGAAGTTGAAAAGAAAATTCTGCATGGCAAATAAATAAAAAATCCTGGCGGCAAATGAATGCATGTTTCTCTCCCTGCTGCTATTGGTAGGCCCATATCTTTTTGGGTCAAGGAACCAGGTTCGTAGAGTGTCGATTAGTTAACCTACCTTCTTCCCCCGAATACAACGTACGGTCATTATATCTGTATTTGAGCGATCTTTCAGTCTAGGTACAGCCATAATGACAGTACGTTGTATTCGGGGTAAGAAGGTAGTGCCATGGTCAGTGGTGAATTAATTCAAAGGAATTGCGTTTTTTTTTTCTCATTGTCAGACCGGTTTGCAAACGCGTTCAACTTCAGAAATCGATTTGCGTAGTTATTCCATATCGGGTCTGTCCTATCACAATTTCATGGACTTTTCCGTTTCTTGGGGTAGAGTTTCAAAAGGCATATTATATTATTATTCTAGGCTACAGGGGGTGCCAGGCCGGGCACCTGTGCAAGTCAGCCAGCCCGCTATCAGCACGAGGTGCTTCGTGCAGGCGAAAATCTGCCTTTTTTCTTTCCGTCATCCTTTTCAGAGGTGGCGGGGCATCTCTGCGCCCACCAAACTCTTTTCTTCATCCAGGCTCAGTTTTACTCTTTCAGGTGTTTGTGAAATCTTGGGGAGAGAGGGGATGGGGGGGGGGGGGGGGGGGGGGGGGGGGGGGGGGGGGGGGGGGGGGGGGGGGGGGGGGGGAGATGGGGAGGGGGGGGGGGGGGGGATGCAAAAAGCGGCAAAGGTGGGAGGACTCGGAGGAGGTTGTATGCTCAATTCGGACTCCTCACGGGTACACATAGAGAGGGAGTGCAGTTGCACGTGGCAGAGTATGCAAGGAGGCAAAAACACCATCGCCTAGAAGGATGTCATCGATGGGCATCAATGGCCACATAACGAGGAACAGAAATCACAACAGAAATCACACATGCAATGGCCAAGCTTGCAGCTCTTATCAGCAGCACTAGCACTGGAAGGGGTGTTTAAAAAAAAAAAAGAAAAAAGAAAAGAAAAGGAGTCTCAGTAAACACTGGCATGGGAACACGCATGAACAATTACACCACCATTCAGAAGCACTCTGCGGCCTTAAACCATCAGTACTTCCTAAAGGGTTGCCCATTAACAAGCCACAATTTTAGGAAACGTACGGGCCACTACCGGAGCGTCCACATTCATCCGACTAGAAACGTTTCTACTCTATTCTTTCCCGCGGCCAATAGCTGGGCCAAGTACTGGTGCTTTAAACCGCGAGTACACGGCGCCAGCCTTGCAGATTTTTTGTGTCACCACAAGCAAAACTCGGAGGGGCCGCGTGGCGCAGGGCGTCGTTGAGAAAAAAAATTGGCGGCCTCCGAAGTGGTGCGGGTTTCATGCTGACACCCACGGGCCGATGTCTGGTGTACCGGTGCTGTAAGCATCGGGAAACGACAGAAAAAAATTGGCGGCCTTCGAAGTGGTGCGGGTTTCATGCTGACACCCGCGGGCCGATGTCTGGTGTACCGGTGCTTTACGCATCGGGAAACGACAGAAAAATGGCCGTCCACGATTCAAGCACTTATGTCACAGTCAATCGAAAACAGAGACAAATATTTATGATCCTCGCCGTGTGGGAACAGTCGTTATAAAGCCAACGTGGCATGCACACTAAAGACGAGCGAGCCAATAGCCGGCCAGCCAGGTGGAACGACTCCCGTGTCCTGGCACACACACTGCGGAAGAGCCATGTCATCACCCATCTCATCCCTTACAGCTCACGTCCCCTCTGTCATCAAGGACAAAACTGACCGTCCCCTCTGTCATCAAGGACAAAACTGACTCCTCAGCCTTCCCTAATCGGTTCAGGGTTTCAGGTTTATAGGCAATCGACCCGCAGCCACACGGAGTCGAATCGGTGACCTTGCCCATAACAGGCTGATGCCTTTACCACTGCAGCCGTGACCCAATGTTCCAAAACCGAAGCCATACCGGTCATGGCATTCAGCCCACCTCAGCACGGTTGCAGCAAGGACTTATTAGTCAGCATGCTGACATCCACGAGATGCTCCGCAGGCAGCCTCCATGGCCTCCACGCACACACCATCGCCTAGAAGGATGTCATCGATGGGCATCTAGGCGTTCCAATTTTAACAAGGGAAGGAAGGCAGAGATTGCTCCCCTTGTCTTTCTTCGATCTTGCTTCGCTTTACTCTGCCTTTTTTTTTTTTTTTTTTAACCATTTCTTGATTTATTTGTGCCATCCTTTCTTTGTGCAGGGTCCATGCTAATCTTTTCTGTATTGTTCCAAGCGACGCTCTGCCTCTTTTTCATAGAGTGCAAGTGGGCTGTTTTGACTAATGGGGATGTGGGCATCTCGCGGTCAACTGCGTCAATGTGGCAAGCCTTGTAGGAGAGTGGAGGCACTGTAAATGGAGAGCGAAAAGAAGAAATAAAGGAGATTTTTTTTATTCTTTTTTAATTTTAAACCACCACTAGCCCCGCCGTTCAAAAGTGTATCTTCATTCATCGAACAAGCATCAGGAAAAGATTGAGAACATGCAATACCCACCAAAACGCAACCTGCCAATGAAAGAAGAAGAAGAAGAAGAAGAAGAAGAAGAAGAAGAAGAAGAAGAAGTAGCAACACGCAGAGTTACAATCCCGAACGCGACGGGCTGGGCATCCGAAAATCGTGAAAACATGAACAACAGCCCAAGCAAACTCGATCAGAATTACGCGGCACGCCCATAGTCAATATAGCACA